GGAGGGGGGTAATGTAAGGCCAGTCCAAGGGCCAGCTGAATCGGTCCATCCTTGACTAGTTCAATGCTACAGGAGGCGGACCAAGGGGGTTGATGGAACAAGGGAGAAGAGAGAGGGGACGACTGGAGCTATGGGACCCACTTCTTAATTAAGTTTTTCTTTGGAGGGAAATTTGAATTAAGGACTGTTAGAGATTTTGGAATGGTCCTCTTTGCTTTAATTCATCTCTATTGTTAGGGTTAGGTTTTCATCTTGAATTTAGAAGAAATTTGAGATCTTGGGTTTGTTTTTTTTGGGCTCTGGCGGCGTCTAGAGATTTGGGAGAGATAGATCCTCCTCTCAAATAAAGGATCAGTTGTATATTATTTGTTTTTCTTCCGTTAGTTGTTTTCTTCTCCATAAAGTGGTTGTTTTCTCTATTTTTTCATTGAATTCATAGAGATCTCTCGCTGTTTTCTAGAAATTGATAGGAACTGCTTGAAATTTTCAAGTGTATCATATCAAATTGGTATCATAGCAATTTTTGGACCTTTGGTGGACTATTTTGGTGAATTGCAGCGACTGTTCTTGGGATTTCGAAGAAAAAAGTTGTTGTTTTTGAAGGTCGAAATTCAAATTTTTATTTCTACAAAAATATGGGGATCATTGGCGGCTATAAAAATAGATGCGTTGGAGGAACGCCCCGAAGTGGAGATTGAACAAATGAAATCTGAAATTTCATATCTACAAACTCAAGTTTCGGATTTAAAAAAGGATGTTTCAACTATCTATGATATGTTCGATTCGAAATTTTCCATCATTGAGGAGATGTTGAAGAAAGTGCTCGAGGGCCAAATTAAAATATCGTCATCAGAGATGAGGGAAGGCGCTGAAAGCCACGAAAGTGGGGAAGATCAAGAGGTGAAGATTTTGGAGGGAACAAAAAAACTGCCTTTCCTAGCTAGGACCTATTCTTAGGGAGGAATCCCAAAGAGGGTATGTGGAGAGATGTGAGGGGGTTGGGCATGAGTGGAGGGATGTTGAATTTGAAAAAAGAGGGGTTGAATTGGAAAGGCGTGGGCTTGATTTTTATCGAAGAGGTGCCGAATTTGAAAGGGAAAGGGGTGATTATGTCCAAAGGGGGACTGCATCTGAAAGGGGAGGGGTTTGTTATGATACAAGGGATGTTGAATTTGAAAGGAGAAGGTGGGATTTTGATGAAGGGCATGGGTATGAACGTAGAAGGGATGATCAGGACACTTGGGGGGAATCACCCCCTTGGGGAAGAAGAAATTATGAAGGGAATAGAGGGAACAGAGGTGATCTGAGAGCGAGGAAGCTGAAGATGCCTATTTTTGAGGGAGAGGGTGCTCATGGGTGGATCTACAAGGTGGAAAGATACTTTACTGTCAATAGGTTGATGAATGGGGAGAGATTGATGGCAGCCGGGATGTGCTTGGAAGGGAAAGCTTTAGCATGGTACCAGTGGAGGGATACAAGGCAACCAATAAAGACCTAGAGGGAGTTTAAGGACCGCCTCTTGGAATGTTTCTAAACTAGTAGGGGAGGGGACTTCTACTAGCAGTTCTTCGCTTTGATGCAGGAGGGGACAATGATGGAGTACCGTGAGCAATTTGATTACCTCACAAGTCGATTAGATCAGCTTCTAAAGTCTGTATTGGAGGGGAACTTTATGAAGGGACTGAAACTAAAGATCCGCGCAGCAGTCAGAGTGATGAGACCTCAGGACTTGGGAGAGTTTATGGAGCTAGCTTAGTTGGTGGAGGATCAGAGGCACCTGGAAAAAGGAGCAGGAGGCAGCAGTTCAGGAGGCTCGTATAGGATAACCATCACCTTTTTAACACCCAAGGAGCCAACATCGAGTACTCTTAGGGAGACTTCAAAGGAGAAGATTGCCGAAGGAAGACCTTGAGATAACTTCAAGAAGCTCGCAGAAACAGAATTACTGGAGAAGAGAGCGAAGGGGAGTATTGTTAGATCGGTCCATTGGACTGATCCAGTATCCGAACTCTTCAAGTTTCACCGTCTGTGATGATGAGGAAGATGGAGAGGGAGGTGGGAGTACGTTAGAGATGGAGGAAGAAGAGAAGTTGCATCTAGTAGATCCTATCAATTTTTAGAAAATAGCGAGAGATCTCTACGAATTCATTGAACAAAATAGAGAAAATAGCCACTTTATGAAGAAGAAAACAACTAACAGAAGAAAAACAAACAATATATAAGTGGTCCTTTATTCGAGAGGAGGATCTATCTCTCCCAAATCTCTAGACGCCATTAGAGCCCAAAGAAACCAAAAGGATTTCAAATTTCAACCAAATTCAAGATGCCCTAACCCTAAAAAACAAACTATTTAATGCATGCAAATCAAAAGGAAATTCCTAAATAGTCCCTACATTCAAATTTCCCTTCCAATTCCCTCAAAAAACCTTCGAAAATAGCTCACATGGATCTCGTGGCATCCGCAGCATGCACAGGAGGCGGAGAAGTTCTGCCTTTGTTGCGCTGGGCCGATCCCATATGGACCGGCTGGACCGGTCCAATGGACTTGTCTAACATATACCTACAATGTTTTGTGTCAGAGACACCCTGGCTGTGGGCCAAGTGGTTAGCATGGGCAGAGTACTGGTACAATATTTCATATCATTATGCTTCTCAGATGATCCCATTCAAAGTGTTGTATGAATGGGATTCACCTCACCTGGTGCATTTTGAGGAGTACTTGGAGGAGAGGGATAGTGTGTTGGAAGAATTAGAGAGACATCTATTAAGGACTCAACAGATTATGAAGAAACATGCGAATGGGCACAAGAAAGATATTCAGTTTGAAGTAGGGGATAGGATGTTCCTGAAGCTTTGACCTTACAGATAGAGGACAATCGCTAACATGAGGAACAAGAAGCTAGATCCAATATATTTTGGCCCTTATGAGATATTAGAGAAAATTGGAGCAATGACATATCATTTGAGGTTGTCCCCCACCGCCATCATACATCTAGTGTTTCATGTATTGCAGTTGAGGAGAGTTGTTGGGGATCACACATCGAGTTCAGAGTTTCCAACAACATTGACTAAAGATTTGAAAGTGGTATTGGTAGCCCTTGAGCAACAAGGGGAGCACTAGTGAGGAGGGGTAAAGGAGGTGTTGATCAAGTGGGGGAATCTTCCAGATTATGATGCTACATGTGAGCTTTACAAGAGGGTGCAACATCAATTCCTGTCTTTCCACCTTAATGACAAGGTGGTTCTTTGGGAACGGGGTATTGATACGCCCAGACTGGTCAAGGAGGAATCGGTCCAGCCTGCCTAGCCCTTGGGGCGGCTCACCACAGGGCCGCAAGCTGAAATTTCCGCCCCCTTGGGGGTGGGGTCCATGACTTAGGGAAGAGAGAAGGGTGGATATTTAGTCCTTTTTGGTTAATTTTATGTTTTCTTTAATTAGGAGTTTGTATTAGTGTTAGGGCATCTTTTTGGTGTGCTAATTTCTGAGTGCTCTTTAGTGTTCTCGGGCTCTAGTGGCATCTAGAGAGTTTTGGAGAGATTGATCCTCTTCGAATAGTGGATCATTTGTATCTTGCTATTTTTCATCTACTAGCAATCAAGAGTGTTTTTCTTGTGTTTTTATCTATAAAGACCTAAAAATCTGCTAGATTAAACCTATGAAAATATGATTTTAGTGATTAATTTCTTTTTTTTCCCTATTGTTTCTTATCACCTTCTTTTTTGAAAGATGTAAATTTAGTTTATCTATTTAAAACCCTACAGAACCCTTAGCAACATGATAATTTTGCTTTTTAGTTAGGGGGGGTTGTTTGGTTAGCTAAAAAAGGAATGTAGTGTAAAAGGAATACTTTAGAGTTGTTTGAATAAATGTAAAATAAATATAGTTGAATGATTTTTTTGTTTGGTTTGAAATAATGAATGTAGTGTAAAGTCCAAAAATGGTGGTGGCTTGGGAGGCCGGTGACGGTTGATGGTGGACGACGGTGACCTGCGGTGGTGGTGGCCGGGGGAGGTGGTGGTGGTTAGAGGCAGTGGAGATGGCTGGGGGCGGTGGCTGGTGACGGTGATGGCTGGGGGCGGTGATGGCTCGGGGCAGTGGCTGGTGATGATGATGGCCGTCAGCGGTGGTGGTACCAAATGGCGGATTGGCAGTGGCAACGACCGGCTATGGCGGTGGCCGGCGGTGGTGGTGGCGACCGGTGGTGGGTGGCGGCTGGTGTTGGCCAATGGGTGGTGGCGGTCAAAGCGAGATTGTTATAATGTCAACTGTTCTCGCTCAAAACTACGCGAGTTTGGTTTAATTCAAAAATAAAACAGTCACCGTGTTTGGAATACTTTACACCCTAAAGTATTCCAGCTAAACAACCCCTAAAATGGTTTACACTACATTTATTTTACTTTGTTCTACTTTGTATTCTAACCAAATATCAAAATTTTCAAAACGCATGCATTTGGAATACTTTATACCACTTTGTATTTCAACAAACAACCCCATAAGGAAAACAAAGAGCTATCATTGACTGGATTTAGGAAGTATTTTGGCCTTTGTGATTGATAACGTAATGAACACCTTGTCTAGGTTCCATGAAATTATCAAATTTGCTAGTATTTTTTCCGTTTTTAATTGCATTAACGATCTTGTAAAATTTTCTGCATGTTACATTCTTTGTGCACCATCACACTCTAGTCTTACCCCATAGCCCATCAGAATGAAGTTGCTATTCCCCACGATGAAGGGTTACTATTCCACACTGTTGAAATTATGTTGTCTATTATGTCCTGTTTGCTTCAGAAAAATGCTATCTTCATTTTTTGTTACTTTTCACTCTTGGCAATCCAATGTTTTTGGTGTCTCTAGAACCCGGATAATTATGGATCATTATACCTTTATGGTTTCCTTAATGACTAAGCACTTTCTTTACAAAATTTAACATTAAGAAGTAAAAAAGTTGAGCTCACTTGCACTTTTAACTTGGTTGTTGTTGTCTGCATCTTTGTAGTTCAACTTTATGTTTGATCAAGGCACAAGAATAATTATATACAATCTATGGGAGGATGATGAAGGACAGCTTGAACTTGATTTTGTTACTGATGCTCAAGTGAGTGATAGAAGTTCCCATTTTTCTTTGATGCTTTCTTTATTAATTTAGACATCTTTTTGTCTTGGGCTGTACATTTGAGTAAACATGGGATTTATATTTTTATACTAAAAATATTTGTTGTAACTGATTTTGAATAGAATTAGTTGTTTCTTCGTTTACTTGTACTTCTTTAGCTCATTTAAATCTAAGAAAATAAGTAATTACTAATAATATTTGCATATTGATTTTCAAAATGGCAGGACATCCAGGTCAGAGGTGCCAATAGAGATGAGAAGAAGATTGAAATGTCCAAAAATTTTCCAAATTCAAGACATTTTCTTACATATCATCATTCAATGAGGGTATATTCACCATTAATTTTCACTATTTTATGGATAAGTCACTAACAAGTTCATTATGTCATTTAGCTCTTTTAAATCAATACTACTTGAGATGCTAAATGTTACGCAGATTGAGTTTTTTTTTTCTACTTATTAGTATCATCATTCTTTTCAATTGTGCTAGTGATCAAGTTATTTTCATCTTATTCTCGTCATCTTTATAGTTTCTCTCTGTAGACCATGTCATAAGCCTTCTCATGGATTTTGAAAAACTTTGCATTTTTCGTATATGCTGACTTACAGGTTATTACCCTTGTCTTTTTTTTTTTTTTTTACAGAGTTATGCGTCGATTCTTTATCTTAGACTTCCTCAAGGTTTCAGAATAGTTCTTCGAGGGAAAGAAATTGAACATCATAATATCGCAAATGATATGATGATGAAAGAAGAGAAGATTTACAGGCCACAGCCAGGTCCTGATGGGGTGTCTAAGGATCCAAATGTAAATATTTTGTGCAACTAATATGGTTGAATTTATTTAGATGTACTTTTGAGTTTTAAAATAAAAATTGAGTGTAAGTTTTGTGCAGATTTTTGCTGCAGTGACCATTGGTTTTGTTAAGGATGCAATAAATCATATTGATGTTCAAGGTTTTAATGTTTATCACAAAAACCGACTAATAAAGGTGAGGAAATGCATGTTTGTGTAAGTTATTATTTTATAGAAATTATGTAAATCAGAGTATTGAAAGAACTCTTGTTATTTTGGACTCTATTTAGTCAAGTGACATTTTCTATATAATATCATATTATTAAGAACTATCAACTTCAAGGATATTTAAATAATAAATTATCGATGTTGTTGTTTCTCCATGTTTCTTTTATCCTTCACAAGCCTTTTTTAGGGTTAAATAGTGCATCTTGTTCTATTTACAGAAATTTTTATTATAATTATAATATTCTTCTTTTGTGTTTGGAGAAAAGCAAGTTTTCCTAAGTAGTTTTCACCTGATAAATATACTCTTATATCAGCCATTCTGGAGGATTTGGAATGCTGCTGGAAGTGATGGTCGTGGAGTTATAGGTACTTTAATGATCTCATTGATTCCTACATTGACTAGTCATTAAGATCTAAGATTTTATTGCCACTTCAGGGGTATTGGAGGCAAATTTTATTGAACCTGCACATGACAAACAAGGATTTGAACGCACAGCTGTGCTAAATAGACTTGAAGCACGCTTGCTTCGTATCCAGAAAAATTACTGGTTTGTTTTTTAGATTTTCATTTGCTTGGTTTTAATGTAACATATTCATTAAACTTGAGTTTTTTTTTTTACATGAATTATTGCTTTTAGGTCATCAAACTGCCAGAATATAGGATATGCTCCGAGACGTCAGAAGAAATCTATAAAAAATTCCGAAGATAATAGTATAGGTACTGTTAAAAAATGTGCTAAATTTTATAATGTGCCAAGTCCATGACAATAATTTTATTTTTTTTACACACTGTGGTTTTCTGCTGGTTAATTTAAATGTTTTGATGTAACTTTTAAATTATATATTTGCATAGGTTGCTTTAACATTAATAATAAATTTTTTGTAATGCTTTTGAACAGAGAGTTCACCTGAAACTCCTAAACAACCATGCGTTCCTCCTATGATGGCTAAACCTAGTATGGTTGTCCAATCAAACGATTCAACTAGGCATCAAAATTCTGCAAAGCTTTCTTTGCATTCAAATTTTGAAGTTGTGAACTCAACAAAAAAGCCTCACAATAATGGTTATGAGAAGTCTGGAGAGTGCATATTGCTTCAACAGCCAAGATACCACTTCTCCATTTCTTCCAGTAATTGCAATGGATCTGGGCAATCCAACACAGAATGCAACCCTAATAAGAAAAGTTCAGATGGATCTGAAGATATTGCTTGTTCATCTCTATTATCATCTTCCGTGCTCAATGATGGACTTCGACAAAGTCCTGTTTCTGTTGAAAGTGATTTGAAAAATATGTCCTGTTTGAGATCTTCCTCAATGGTAATCATTTACATTTATTTTCTGAAGTAATTTTTTCTGTCGTCTTTGGTATTGTACATGGTTAGACTAAAAACATGAGTATAAAATTTTTTGCATGATATGGTACTAGTACATGTAAATAGGTAAATAATATATATATATATATATATATATATATATATATATATTTGGAATGCGGTGTTTGGCAAGGTTGATATTAGCTTAACAAAATTTATGGCTCTATGAAAATCAAAATTTCAAGTAACATTTAGAGACATCACGTGATGCAGGACTACGATGCTTTTAAATGGATGCGATAAGAATTTACACGATTTCTTGATAAAAATAGTTATGATTAAGACTATTAGTAATTTAAACGACAAAATAAAATGTAAGAGGGGTAGCTACACTTAGGCCAAGTCACATGCCAAATACTTGGATTATCAAAACAAGTTAGAAGTTCAACAACATGCAAAGTAAATAGCTTTCAACAAAATCCCTAATCTAACAATAAGATAGCAACATAGAAAGCACGCTCAATCCTACGTTTACTAAGCTTAGCAGAGATAGGTGAACAAGGCCTTCATGAATCAAGTCAAACCACAAGAGAGAGTTAAACTAAGAAAGCACAAGAGTAGAAAGATTGAAAGACCTTTGTCACGGTTTGAACGTAATCCACCATTGAACGGCACCAAGTTGCTCCTCTATGGCTTCGGTGAGACTATCTAGAATGCGCTCCATGTATTACTCGATGTTATTGTCGATATTCGGATTGCGTCGAAGAAAGTGGAGTGAAGGATGTGAACGAAACCTTACTCGTCGTAGGCAATGCCATAATCAAGATTGGGATCGGCCATGCATCAATCTAGTTGCGTTGAAGTGTGAAGGACGTGGTCCTTTGTTGTCCTTGCCATTTTCCCTTGAAAGAAGGAGATTCCTCTCAAGAATCAAAGTAGGAGAAGGGAAGAGAAGGTGGCCGGCCAAGGGGAGAGACACTTGGGGAATTTAGGTTCAGATTTTTGGAGATTTAAATGGAAGAAAATTTAGTTCAAACAACTTCCTTCTAGATCCCTTGATTGAAATAATCAAGGAAGAGGAAGGGAGAGAGGGGCCGGCAGCAAGGGTGAGAGGGAGGGGCTTTAATTTAATTCCAAAAGGAGAGGTTCCCCTTTGGAAAGAAATTAAATAAGAGGGGTTAGGGGAATTTCAGTCAAGGATGAGGATAGGGAGTTTGAATTGTTTCCAAGAGAGGAGGTTGGATTTTAGGAAACAATTCCTAATTCAAACCACAAGGGGGGCTGACGGCTATAGAGGGAGGAAGGAGTTTAATGGTGCCTTCAATGCTTACTTAAATTATTAAATTAAGTTTGGAAAGAAATATCTCATCCTCTCTTAATTTAAAATTTAAATAAGAATTGATTTAAAATGTTTTCCTAAAATAGGATTTATAAATTAGGTAACTATTTCAAATTCAAATTGATTTGAATTTGATCATTAATAGAGTTACCAAAATTATGAAATCTAATTTACGAAAGATTTAGAGGCAAGTGGAGGTGGAGGGAGCCAAGGGGAGGTCGGTGGTGGTGGTTGGCCGTGGATGGGGTGGCGGGTTGAGTCTAGGCGGCGGGTGGTGGTGGGGGGTTAAGTGGTCGGCTGTTAAGGGTTTGGGGAAGGCCCTGGCCGGCGGCTAGGGGATGGAAAAAGGAAGACAAAGAGATAATGAAGAAGAACCACGAACTCGGCCGTCTCCAAGGTTGGTGGGTGATCCGATTTCCCTCTCCTAGGGATCTGAGAGTGCTTGAGAGAGAAACCCCTAGGGGAAATCGGATCACCCACCAACCTTGAAGACGGTCGAGTTCGTGGTTCTTCTTCATTATCTCTTTGTCTTCCTTTTTCCATCCCCTAGCCGCCGGCCAGGGCCTTCCCCAAACCCTTAACAGCCGACCACTTAACCCCCCACCACCACCCGCCGCCTAGACTCAACCCGCCACCCCATCCACGGCCAACCACCACCACCGACCTCCCCTTGGCTCCCTCCACCTCCACTTGCCTCTAAATCTTTCGTAAATTAGATTTCATAATTTTGGTAACTCTATTAATGATCAAATTCAAATCAATTTGAATTTGAAATAGTTACCTAATTTATAAATCCTATTTTAGGAAAACATTTTAAATCAATTCTTATTTAAATTTTAAATTAAGAGAGGATGAGATATTTCTTTCCAAACTTAATTTAATAATTTAAGTAAGCATTGAAGGCCACATTAAACTCCTTCCTCCCTCTATAGCAGCCGGCCCCCCTTGTGGTTTGAATTAGTAATTGTTTCCTAAAAGCCCACCTCCTCTCTTGGAAACAATTCAAACTCCCTCCCCTCATCCTTGGCCGAAATTCCCCTAGCCCCTCTTATTTAATTTCTTTCCAAAGGGGAAACTCTCCTTTTGGAATTAAATTAAAGCCCCTCCCTCTCACCCTTGCCGCTGGCCCCTCTCTCCCTTCCCTTTCCTTGATTATTTCAATCAAGGGATCGAGAAGGAAGTTGTTTGAACTAAATTTTCCTCCACTTAAATCTCCCAAAATCTGAACCTAAATTCCCCAAGTATCTCCCCTTGGCCAACCACCTTCTCCTACTTTGATTCTTGAGAGGAACCTCCTTCTTTCAAGGGAAAATGGCAAGGGCAGCAAAGGGCCACCTCCTTCAACACTTTAACGCAACTAGATTAATGCATGGCCGATCCCGATCTTAATTATGGCATTGCCGACGACGAGCAAGGTTTCGTTCACATCCTTCACTCCACTTTCTTCGACGTCAATCCAAATATCGACAACACCGTCGAGGAATATGTGGAGCGCATTCTAGATACTCTCATCGAAGCTATAGAGGAGCAACTTAGTGCCGTTCAATGGTGGATTACGTCCAAACCATGACAAAGGTCTTCCAATCTTCCTACTCTTATATTTTCTTAGTTTAACTCTCTCTTGTGGTTTTACTTTATTCATGAAGGCCTTGTTCACCTACCTTTGCTAAGCTTAGTAAACGTAGGATTGAGCGTGCTTTTTATGTTGCTATCTTATTGTTAGATTAGGGATTTTGTTGAAAGCTATTTACTTCACATGTTGTTGAACTTCTAACTTGTTTTGATAATCCAAGTGTTTGGCATGTAAGGCCTATGCATAGCTACCCCTCTTACGTTTTATTTTAATGTTTAAATTGCTAATAGTCTTAAACATAACTGTTTTTATCAAGAAATCGTGCAAATTTTTATCGTATCCATTTAAAAGCATCGTAGTCCTGCATCATCATGGTTATGCCAAAATTGTGAAAGGGTTGGAGTAGCTCTAGTGGAAGATAAGATTAGAGAGAGTCATCTAAAATAATTTGGCCACATAAAACGATGACCCGGTTAGGAGAGTAGATGTATTGGATTTGGCTTACCTTAAGAAAGGTAGGGAGAGACCTAAAAAGATTTGGTTAGAAATGACCTTTCTTTATTAGATTTAAATGGGAATTTCACTCTTAATAAGACACAATAGAGAAAAAAGATTCATGTAGCTGACCCCATATAGTGGGATAAAAGCTTGATGTTGTTGTATTGTTATGCAAAAATTGTTTTATTCCTTTGTTCTTTTGCTTTGTAGAGGTTAAGATGGTGAAGCACTTCAACTGTCATAATCAATTTGTTTAGTTACACATTTTAAGTCAATTATTTAGACTGTGCGTCACATATTTGTTGAACACCTAAAAGAGATTGTTCACCCTAAAATAATTTGTAGGTAGTATTTTTCATCATCCTCTTTGAAACTCCAGCTATATTTTTATTTTCTATCATCCTCTTTGAATTACTATTACATTGTGCATGTTTTCTGTTGTAAATCTCGTCCACTTATTGCATTTATGCAAGATGTTCATCTTAGATTTTTTTTTCCTATCAGAAAATGGGCGCTGAAAGCTATGTAAATGGACTAAAAGCTCTGGATTTTGGTATGCACACCAAACTGTTGGCCAATCATAATAAGACCTTGAAGGAAAGGTGAGTTAGTTACAAACACATTAAAGTTCTTCTCAAGAATAGAACGATAATATTTATGCTTTTTGTAATTGCAGAATAGTTACAGTAGAAGGCAAGTTGTTGCATGATTTGAAGATTGCAATGCAAAAGAACAAAGAACTAACTGAGAAAGTAAGTTAGAAATGCCTCTTGATCCTTATGCTTCTTAAAGTAGTCTAGGACCTGAACCCATCAGCCATGTTTTTATGCTTTTTTTTTTTTTAATGTTGCAAGTTTTGAAGTTACATCTCATTTACGTTTGATTTTACTCTCATATTAATCCCTTGACTATGACTAGCTATTCCTAATGCATTAAGTACTCATTATAATATTGATGATGGGTTATAAGCTTTAAATTATCATGAGTTCATTATTATGTGGTCAGAAGGCCCACTAGTCAGAAGTGTAATTTTTTCAAATAGTTAAGATCAACATACCTTGAATGGAAAGCTTCCACTACAGGAAAATGTGCCATTACTGTTGGACTTTCCGGCGGACGATTTTACGACGGTAATACCAGCACATTTACCGGTGGATGTTTCGCCGGTGCTTTAACAGCGCATTATCCGGCGGAATATCCGCCGTAGAGATACCGGCGCACATTCCGCCGGCATTTCTTAGTTGTCCTGCTCATTATCCGCCGGTAACTACCGGCGGCAGTACCACCACAATTCTTTGACTGTGTTGTTTACCTTAATACTACAAAGTCAAACTCCCAACTAATGGCGTGAGATTGAACACATGATGCATTACTTAGGCTAGTAATCTAACGTATCTATATCCATGTCTTGATAAGGACTTTTGGCAATATTCTTATATTTGAGATTGTTTTCATTCTCAACACCTCATCTCTTTTAACTCTCATCATGAGCACTTTGGCATTGTGCTGCTCTTCAGTGTTAATGTTGGGAAGAAGTTTACGGTATAACCCCACCGGTTTGCTTTGTCATCTCAAATGGTATTAATTTCTTCTATGGCTTTGCATATAAAGTAGATATAATATTATATAAAGTTTTGGCTGACTATTTACTTGCATGATTAGAGACATTGCTCTTTTTATGGATTTAATCATCATCATCATCATTATCAATAGTCTTATCCAACTACTTGGGTTAGTTTTCGATCGAGTGCCTCACCTTCAATCTATTCGTGTAAATCAAAGTGATGCAAGAGATGTTAACTCCGCATTTTTTACCATGTTGTTTTTTGTGTATTCCCTTTCAGCTTTCATTGATTTGCAATTAGACTTGAACTTTGCTATTAAAACTCCTTAGGTGGTGCTGAATTTTGAAAAGTTAGATTCCGTTGTATCTAACGTTATAATTTCGTAAATCTATAATTGATTAGATTGAATTATTGCAAAAGAGGCTGAAGGATGCTGACAAAGAACAAGAAACTATTGTGACCATATTCTTAGAAGAACGAGAGAGGAGGGATGCAGAAGAAGAGAAATGGAGGACTCTGTTAAAGGTATATTCAGGAAAACAAATTATCCATTGGTGCTTCTTTTTACCATATTATTATTATTATTATTATGTCCATATGCTCTTATTGTTACTGTCTATTCTGTAGGTTGCCAATGACAAAATAAACAAGTTGGAGAATTTCGCAATAAGTGGAATTAAATCAGAGCTCCAATGACCGTAATAAAGGCATTACGGTACTTGCAGTCCACTTTACCATTCCAGAGCTTAGTTAATTGACTAGAGATATGATTCAGTAGCAGCTTATTTGCTTGGTCTTTTACATTTATATCATTCTTTACACTACTTGTGGCAAACTTGCAACTGAGAACTGACTGCAGTTACCTCGCGTAAATCTGTATAGTGTTTTGTTTGTGTATTCGAACAAGTAATTATACAGTTTTTTTTTCCTCTCTGTTAGAGGGCCTAGTTTTGGTGGTCTCTATAACATGCGTGCAACTTACTCTATGTAGTATTCTCTGTTTTGGTATTCTTCATGTGAAAAGCTTTATTTGTAATTTGCTATCTGTGAACTCATTCCGTACTCTATTTTTAATCAAATAGCTGATTGAATATGAGAGCCTAGTTCTGAAAGAGTTTAGATGAACAGATCATCCTATGATTGATATCATGCTACTCTACACAGAATCAACAAAAACCAAAGGTTAGCTGGTCAATACTATGGTTTTGACACGAAAAGCCGTCTGATGCAAGTTGATAATCAATTTCAATGGTGAATAAGAGATGAAATTAAGGTTTCGTTTGGGACATATTAAGTTAGATAATGTTAAGCTTATTTAATATTATTTCTTCTCTAAGTTAGAATCTAGCTTCAACATAACTTATATGATTATACTCCAACTTATATTATGACTAAAATCAGTATTATATTAGAAGATAAATGATACAAATTTTATGTAATAAATTTGATAGAATTATGTTGTTAAATTATTTTATTATTATTATTATTATTATTAATTAATTAATATTTTGCTCATCCTGAAAAAAAAAAAAAAAGCTGCATCCGCCCCTCAAGCCATCCCAAACAAAACCTCAATCTTTAACAAAGATATAATAACATTATCATCATCATATCCTACTTTGTAGTGAGAGAAATTTTTTATGTTCCGCTTTTTTAAAACTTAGTTGTTTGTTTGATATCAATGCATAGCTATGCACATAAATGAATCTCTTTGAACTACATAAATTTTGCTTGTGTTTACATACATATATTTTAATTTGTTTAGTTTAATTTCTCATCTTTGTGTTTGTATGTTTGTTTTTGTTTTTGGCTCGTTACTGTTATTGTAACAGTTAACGCTTTTCGTTGTTGTTGTAGTACTGTTATTGTAGCAGTTGAGAATATGAATTATTGCTGATGGAAGTTTTGCATATTTACGTTGTAGCTGCTTTAACTTATCTCTGGCCATTTCGATATTGAATCAAAAAATAAATCTGCTCATTGTTCAGCATCGTCTTTAATTTTTTTTGCCTGTTCTACTTTTTACAGTCAAACTCAGTGCTTCCATTTATTACTTCGATGGTAGATCCTTCCTCATGTTCTCCTCTAGTTTCTGTTTCTAAGCATTTGTAGGAAATACACTAAAGATGAATTAGTTGAAGGCCCATTTAATTGATTGAAATCTGAAAACAAGTTTCGAAAAAAGAAGATTTAGTGAACATTTATCGTTTAATTTGTTATAACTAGAAATCAGTATTGATTTTGAGCTTCTTAGATCTCTCATGGATAAAAATAGATCAAGATTTATATTAGAACATATTTAAACCAAATGAGTCCAACAAAAATTTCAGGTAAAATGGATCTTTCCATGACACTGCAGCATTCCGAAACAAACAATTTTCCATTAATACAAACAACGTAGCAAATATCATTTATAACAAAGAGCAACATTGTCCAAACAAGCACAATAACAAAACACAACTGAAATCACAAGAAAAAAAAATCTTACAGTTAGGATAGGGAGGAGGAAAAGATATTCAACCCAGCATAAGAAAGGAAGGATAAGAACTCAGGTTGAAAAGTTTAAATCATGGTGCAGATGGTGAAGTTGGTGAAAAAGAGAACGGAAATGGAAGATATGGCGGCTTTAACAATGGAAGAATCCAAGAAGGGATGGTGAAAGGTAAAGATGCTGGGTCAGGCCAAGTAAGATTCGGCCATGGAAGCCCAAATGGTGTAAAGAATGGCCAGAAACAAAGGGAACTCCCCAAGTTTGCTGGCGTTCTTCCCTTCTCAGCACCACAAAGAGTATTGTCCCTCTTTGCAGGGTGGAAGTTAAGTGTGTTGAGATTAAGAATGCAAATATCTCTTGCTTTGGATTTCATTGCCACATGAGCTGTGGAGCTCTGTGTTCCTGGTATGCTACATGAGGAAGATGAGCTCTGAATCAAACTAGCTCGGCAGAACGATTTGATCTCAAGCCCCCGTTTGCACTGAAATCCTTCTACTGGTGGAATGTCAAGCTTGTAAACACCAAAACTATCAGTTGTTCTCTCTGCAGTGACTGATATCTCATCGGTCGATTTGGAGTTTACTGCAAACTTGCATTGGACGAGCACTTGAACACCTACTAGAGCTCAGAAACTTAGAAGAATAGTAATTCTATTTTCTTGTGAAGATATTAGATTTCATGTCTATGTAGTTTATACCTTGCAAGAAGTAGCTATGCTTGGAGAAGGTGTTCTCAGAGCAGGCATCACAGAAGACAGAGCCGATGATAGTGATGTTAGTCCTGAGCTTTGCTGATTTTGGAGTAGTTTTCAGAGAGAGAGAATTTGTAAAGAGGAACGCAGAGAAGAGTGTGAGGAAGATGAGAAGCTTGAGCTCCATGATGAAGTTGTGCATGAGATAAGTGTCTGAGAGCTTGACGAGGCTCTGCACTTCTAGTTTGGATCATACAGGAGGAGACATGTGAGTTTTTTTGGCCTATTATGAGAAAAGATGATCAGGAAGTTCACGGGTGCAATAAGAATTTGATTACAGTGTTTTTCTTTTTATAAAGTGCTATGGTACTTGCATATGTCTCAGTTATGCTATATAGAAAGATAATTATTTGCAGTGAAATGACAGTTAATGTAATAAAAATTTAATAAATTATTATTAAGATTTTAACCTTGAAAATTTTAAGGTTAATTTATGCTTTTAACGCTCATTATTCTCTCCCAAAAGTGCAAAAGTGACCAGAATTGAGTTATTTGATCAGATTAAGCATTCAATTATATTGTTTAGTTCAGCATAAATTATTCACTACATCCAAGAAATATCAATTATCAACAAAAGAGAGAGAGATTAATGCTTCGTTTGGGACGACTTTTTTTATTGCTTTTTAAAGCAGCTTTTGCTAAAAAGTTGTTTAAGCAGCAACAAAAAAACTGTCACAAACGAAGCGTAAGGCTGGACACCTTTCTTATTGCTTTACCTTTTAAACCACTTATACAATTTCTATTTCGTTGTAGCTTTTTTGCTTGTTTCAAAATATTTTTGTGCTATGAAAATATTTTCTACAATAGTTTAAAAAATATATTTTTTATAGTAACTTTACAAAACAGCAAAAAAGTTATCACAAAAGAAGCCTAAATTTCTTAAATGTTGATAGTAAAAGCTAAAAGGATAAAATGTGCAATTTGGAAAATTTTAAGTTGCCCAAAACTCAAAATTATGCAAATATGACTTGTTCTCATGAATGCATTGGTATTTTCAATGCACTGAGGACATTCTGTTGTTGGTAATACATTTCATTTTGAATATAGTTATTCTTTGTGCAGTGTATGCCGTATGGTCCCAAGCCTGCAACAAAGCTATTAGCGCTTCTCTTGAGATAGGGTTGATGAAGCTCCTGTGAGCCTAGGAAGCATTAATTCTACAATATTATATATATATATATAATATATATATATATATATGAGATATTTAAGTTAATTAAGACAAATTCACACACACATCACATACACAAGACTCGAACTCAAGACCACTTGGTTGGTAGCCAAAGCTCCCAACCAAGGTGAGCTACATATAATAAGTTTTACTATTTCTTGGGAAAAAGAAAAAAAACTATATCATGAGCTTTTAATTACAAAATTATATCATGAGCTTCTAATTACAAAAATTATATCATGAGTTGCGTACAACAAAAAGTTCTCATATTGCAAGTATAATAACATAGCTGATAGGTGAGACTTATACATAGGTTTCTGGTGCCAATCCATATTATATGGATATATGTTTATAAAATTTCATTAGATTATAACCCCCTAGACCATCAGGTTATTAATCCTAGAGCAGCTGATGATTGGCTAATGAGGATAGATAAGATTCTGGATGGGATGTATTATCCTTCTATGATGAGAGTTGCATTAGCTACAATCTATTAGATGGAGAGACAGAGTACTCATGGTTGGGCCAACAAAGAGAGAAGTATCAGGGTCGTTCAAATACCCTGATTACTTGGAAGGAGTTTACGAAGGCATTCAAGATATAGTTAGTACCTACTTTTTCTTGGAGACAACTACATTTTTTCTGAAATTGATTTAGGAAAGTATGTTAGTGATGCAGTATGAGGCATAGTTTATTGCTCTATCTAGTATACTTTGCAGTTGGTTAGTACTTCTAAGGAAAAGCATTACAGATTTTTGGAGGGACTTTGAGATGTTGTTAGGTAGCCACTATTGGCATAGGATATTAAAAATTTTGTTCAGTTGGTCGAAAGGACCATGTGGATAGAGACTAATCTGGTATCAGTATAGTAACGATCGACTATGAGCAGGAAAATATTTGGTGGTGAGATAGCTGGTAGTAATCATTCTGAGAAGAAGAACAAGTTTTAACCAGTTGAGTTCATGAGGGAACAACTAGTAGTAGTTCCTTCTAGATTAAATAGAGGCAGTATTGCTAATTTTGAGGGTTAAGTTAGTGGGTTCTCTCCATTATGTCAGCAATGTGGCACGATGCATAATGGACAATGTTATAGAGCATTGGGCTAATATTTTTGTTGTGGCCAGTATAAATACATGATTTTTAAGTGTCCATAGGGTGGCTTTGACATACATTTTCAGTTGAAAGATGATAGTTCTGGGTAGCTGACAGTGGGAGGGCTGAGGACAGTACCACTTCAATAGTATTATGAGGCTTCTGATAATTGGGATGTTAGTTTACTATTATTAGATCAGCCTTCTGGGGGTTTGCAGGGTATAAATAGTTTTGTTGTTTTGACCCCATTATAGCCATGACTTTATAGTCTGATGCAGTAATAAGTCAGTTAGTCTCTAGATGTTGTGATATGTATGACTTATATTTTTGCATCTTTAATGTATTTTATTCAATTATGGTGCCATTTTTTCGTATTAGAGCAATATTTTGATTATCTTAATTTGTCTTCCATATTATTATATGTTTTTTTGTCTGTGGTTTTGCTTATGGGAGATGGAATGGTAGCTGATAGGATTTATTTTTATGTTATAGAATTTTCTAATAGAATTTGGAGATTTGGTTTGATTGTGTTGTCTATTTTTACATTTGATATTATTTAGGGAATGAACTAGATGAGTAAGTATGGGGCTCAGATCGATCGTCTGAAAAAAAAAAAGACTTAACATCAGAATGATGAGAGATTTGTATTTCAGGGAATTAGGGATATTCTTTCTTATATGATTTCTGCTCTAGAAGTGGATAAGCTTTGGAGGAAAGGTAGCCTCGTATTTTTAACATGTGTTAGAGATGTGAGACTCTCTTTTGCATCTATGAGTAGTGTCCCTGTAGTTCATAAGTTTTCAAATATCTTCCCTAAGGAGTTAGTGACTTTACTGCCATACAGAGAGGTAGAGTAGATATTTATAGATGTTTTTTTGGGTACTACTTCGATCACCAAGGCCTCGTATTGGATGTCACCTAAGGAACTTAAGGAGTTGAAGGTGTAACTTCAGAAGTTAATGGATCAAGGCTTTGTTCATCATAGTGTGTTTCTATGGGGAGCACCTGAATTATTTATCAAGAAAAAGGATGGTGTCTTATAAATATGCATCGACTATAAAGATTTAAATAAGGTAACTATAAAAATTAAGTATTATTTACTTGTGATTAACAACTTGTTTGATCAGTTGGCTGGAAGTTTAGTATTTTTTAAGATTAATTTACGATTTGATTATCATCAACTAAAAGTGAGAGTAAAGGATGTGGCGAAGACTGCATTTAACACGAGGTACCGTGCATTATGAGTTTTAGTCATGCCATTCAGAGTGATTAATGCCCCAATAATTTTTATGGATTTGATGAACATAATTTTCATGAAGTATTTGGATCTGTTTGTTATAGTCTTTATAGATAATATTTTAATTTATTTCAAATCTGAGGAGAAGCATGCAATATACTAGAGGAATGCTTTAGAGCTTCTAAGGAAGTATCAATTATATGCTAAGTTCTCACAGTATGAGTTTTGGTTGAGTAGTATTTTATTTTTAAGATATATTGTGAGTAGTGCATGTATTTTAGTATATCCCCAGGCTATTTTTGATTGGCCAAGGCCTACTATAGGTTTAGAGGTTCATAGTTTTTTAGGCTTAGCTTGTTATTAGCTAGTTGGGAGGATCATATCCAACTTATTAAATTTATGTACAATAATAATTTTCAGTCCAATATAGGTATGACTCCTTATGAAGCCCTATACGGTAAGAGTTGTAGAACCCCTTTGACTTTAGCATAAATGAGGGATAGACCTGTGATAGAATCAAATTTTGTGGATTATAATATAACAAAGATTTTTCTGATTAAAGAAAGATTGAGAGCTGCACAGGATAATAGAAGAAGTATTATGATCAGAAACACAGACTGGTGAAATTTCAGGTTGACAAATTTGTTTATATCAAAATTAGTCTAATGAAAGGTGTCAATAGATTTGAACACAATATATTTCATATATATTTTTTGAGGAAGTCAATATCTGATTTTGGAAGAGGTTAATTGTTGATGATGTTGAGGTTCATCCAAAACAATACTATAGGGAAGAGCCCAGTAAGATTCTAGTATATGATGTGAGGAAATTGAGGAGAAATAGATTCTGATGATCAAGATGCAATGGAAGCATATAATTGTCAGAGAGACTACTTAAGAGAAGGAATTTAAGATGAGATAATTGCATCCAAGCTTATTCTAACTTATTTTGGCCTGAAAATGCTGAGGATGATATTTTTTAAGATTGGTGGATTGTTTTAACTCAAAATTAAAAAGAAAATTATATTTTATATATAACAGTAAAAAATTATTTTATGAATAATTCTAAGTACAAATCACAAATCTCTTTGCCATAGCATAAACATTATTGTGTTTTAATTTCACTAGTTTTTTCCATAATTTTTTTTAGCATTGGTACAATTTCTTAAGAAATTAGCATATATCGTTACAAGTGGGCTTTCTGGGATCGTTAGATGTCTATTTTGTAAATCAATTTCACCATAATCTTTTAGACATGCTTAGCTAATTTATGAATATTTTTCATAACTTTTGAAACTCTAGATTTAAAGATATAAAAGAATTTATATAAATTTTTTTATTAAAAATTGAATAAATTATAAAATTATATTTGTATATTTTATTAATATATTATAGATATTAATAACCATTATAAACTTTCATTAAAATTCTATTTTGCCTTTCCATTTTCATTAACAGAAAAGATTAGGAGGAAAGAGAAGAAAAGGGACGAGTGAGAAAAAAGAAGCTTGATTTTAGATATCGTAGATAGGGGTGTCAATATTTGACACGACACGAAAATCCGACCCGGACCCGATTTCAAAACGGGTCGGGTTCGGGTTCCAGAAATCGACCCGTTTTCAATTGCAATATCAAGAAAATTAAAACATTAGTACTTATAAATTCGTTTGTATTTAAATAGCAAACTTTATATATTAGCTTAAAAAGTTACGAAATTGTTTCAAAAAAATATATTTGTTGACA